TCCAACTTTCAATAATATAAAATTTCTTGAAACATTATATGACAACTTAAAAACATCACACAAAGTCTCAAACATTCTGCGATGAAAAAATGAAATTCGTCGGGAATTGTACACTTTCTGAGACGAATTTCTTAACGTCACGATAGAATTCGTCGCAAAAAGTGCAGTTTCTTGTAGTGTTCATGTTTAAACCTTCTGAGTCACTAAGCATGTCTCGTACTACTCAACTGTACCATTAAGATTCCTCTTATAGCGTAAACCCACTAGAAACTCACCACTAATATCAACGAAAGCATGTGAGGCAATAGTGTCCATGAGTTATTAGCATGGAGAGTATCCGATTCAGTGGCGGATCTAGAAATTTTTAACAGGGTGTCCTCTTCAAAAAAAAAATTAAAATAAATAAAAAATTCGTAAATAAAAAAATATCGGACTGGTACAAATTTTAACATAAGGCCACAACGTGTTTTTATTTTTTGAAAAAGAATAACAAATAGGCTTGGTAAATTGCTCAACAAATCTGTATATCCTAATAGACAATAGTTCACGAACTGATCGCATATGGATTTCTAACCTTGTTATTGATGTAACTCAAAGTTGAAAAGACTCTTTCAACACTTGTTGTGTAACCATAAAATCAATTCAAATTAAGGGTAGCCCATAATTAGTTTAATTGTTAGGTTTTGAAAATAGTTGGGGGTAAGGATTAACTTTTTACTATTATGTAGTGTTTAAAATAGAACAACAAATGAGTTGCAACTTAATGGAGGACAATGTTTAAATAATATAGTATATCCTAAGTTTGAATTACACAGATTATCGCTTATTTTTTTTTTAAGTTTTAATTAAAAAAATTGTAGAAAATTGAAAATTGAAATAAACCAAAAAAGTCGGCTCTCAAACTGAATCCTTATTTCCATTTCACAATTTCGAAGGAAAGAGATGAGCTCTGATTAAGAAATGTCCACTTTTTATACTGATAACGTTTATTAGGTACTGATTCTCTAACGGTTTTTAAATGGTCTAATGCCGGTTGGACCACTAAAGTACAAGTCGTTCGCATTACCGGATCATGCTCCGGTTCGGTTCTGACAATATTAGTTTTTACTCAAAACTCAAGAGAATGATAGACATCATGTTAAGGAATATAACTGAACTCCCTTCCAGGATTGAAGTTAATAATTTTGACTGGATGGCCAAACTAGATTTGAATCATTTTTAAAAACTGTTTCCACAACTCTAATTCATATTTTAACCCAAGGAAATAAATCCAAGTAAAAGCGAGTAGCAAAATCAATTAAGCGTGAAAATAGTGATAGCCATGGGGAGATGGGGAGATGTTAGAGGTGAAGGATCCTAGAGTTCTGTATGAACAACTTGAAACGACTTAAATATTTTTGTTGGAGCTAGCGTTAGCGGTTAGCATCACGATAACAAATTGGGTGTTAGCACCCTAATCTTTGCCCAAGATAATTGCATTCAGTTGCTTTTATTGTGACTAGGATTGCAAATAAGCCTAGTTATTTAATAGTAATTGGTACCTGAGCAATTTAGAATACATAATTTTTCTTTTCAATTATAAATGAGACATATTTAATCACATGGTCAAATTCTTAAATATTATATATGTCGAGATATATAGTCTTAAAAATCTTATGAATTATCTACAAGCTAATGATAAACTATTAACTTATTCACTCATAAGTTGCTAGTTGAGGCGGCGCGCTAGCCATATTGTCAAGCCAATTCATAACTCAAAATGAGCTAGCTTATAAGTTGAACTCGATAAGCCAACAAGTCGAACTGACTCACGAGCCTTGCGAGACAAACAAGACTTAGCCAAAGGTTTGCTCGTTAGTGAGGAGCCTAGTGTTGAATGAATTTTTCATGAAATGAGCGTCATGTCGCTCCTAAGCTGTTTTGCTCATTTGCGGCACTAGTTGTGACCCATAAAATGTAATTAATTCCCATCTGCAAGTCGCCTCCCTTCGCCCTGATCTATTTCACTATTTTCCTTTTTATTCTCGATAGGGCTCATTGTTAGCATATGATATATGGTTCATAATTGAATCTCTCTCAACAACTCGAGTTATGAGGATGAAATGATTCATAACATGATATCAGAACCTTTTGTGACCGAGAGATAATTAGTTGGTTTTTTTCTTGAGAAGGTGTATTAGTAAATGATATAGGGTAGACACTAATTATTAGACAAACCTTTTCGGCATTCTTTTTTACGTATCGTTAATAATTTTGCAACTTTTTTTACTAAAAATACTAAAATTTAGGAATGTTGACATCCATTTGTCTCCTCCAAGTGAGTATCATGTTTCCAAGTTAATATTAGTAACAAAATTGCTAATTAGAATAATAATTGTCAAATGTTGACCTTCATTTGACAATTATTAGTAATTCACTTGTTTTGGCTAATAATAAAGAATTCAGAAAATATTTGACTAATAATTAGTATTTATGATCCATAATGAAATGATTTGGGATGACATATTTATTGACAAATTCCTCCTATGCCCCATTAATTGTGACCACCCGAGTCAACGCGGGTAAAACCCATGTTGACGGGTTTTGGGTCGGGTTTGGGTTTAAATCCGTTCACTATTCACCGAGTTGGGTTTCGGTCTAGATAAACCCGCCTCATAGGTATCCGCCCATGGCCCACATCTATATAATTAATTTTCCTGGTATATTTAATATTCTAAACAACTAATATTCTTTAAGTTTGTGGAGATATGTCTAATTTTTTCTCTCTAATCGTGTAGAATGAAGTTGATATTATCGAGTGGAGACTGAAGAAACTTAATTGACAAGGAGTTAGAAGCTTTCAATTAATCATGTTGTTTGTGGATAATTTGTGATTTGTTTTAATTTTCTTGAGTTTTCTAGATTGGTGTTGAACAATTTGTATAGTTAATTTGTGATTTGCTTGAATCTTCTAGAATGGAGTTTTATATATGGATAATTTGTATTGAGAGATTGATATTTGACTTCGATTTTGTTAGAAAATTGTTATTATAATTTTTTTACGACAAAAACCCATGTGTACCCATGAACCCGCGGATACCCACTGAGTTGGGTTGGGTTTGAGGTTTTCAAACCCAATGAGTTTTACCCCCATGAACCCGCGGATACCCACTGAGGCGGGTTGGGTTTGAGGTTTTCAAACCCAATGAGTTTTACCCCAAGTTTTTCACAGACAAATTCATGGGTTTGAATTTGTGTTTAACAGAACTCGACTCAACCCGACCCATCGTCATCCCTACTTCTGCTACCCGATCCAATTTTAAAACTGCAGCCTCTCCATATGAGAAAAGAATGCCGGTCGTGCTTTAGCCCAATTAATTGCTGTTGCTTGATTTATTTTGGACCATACCATGGATGAAAAACCGGCGCATGTATGTCATTCCCTAGCTGTGAATTCCCCTACCACAACTTTGCTTAGCTTGTACATTTACAGTGTTTTTTCTTCTAAAATATTTAAAAAATTTAATATATAGTGGTAATGGTCTTATAATCCTTTCAGGGTCAGATGCTCTAAAATCATACACTTGAAGCATATTTGAAGCATATTATAAAGCAATCATAAAATTAATATGTTTTCGATATTTATCATCAGGATGTTGCAACAACGGGATCAATGAAAGATATTTTATTTTTGGAGAATAGACTGAACCACATCACTCTCACCCACGAAGGATAGTTCGAACCAGTAAGCACCACATCACAAGCTACATAATTTATTAAACTTTAAGGGTGATTCGCGGCGAGAGTCTTCTAAATTAGTTACCACGGTTGGATTAATGATGGAGTCGCCATATGAGAGATCGAATCGATCTCTTGGAAGCAGAATCGGAAGGAAGAAAGTGAAAAAACTAAAGTGAAGAAAATTTCTACTATTCACAGTGTAATAGGAAGGAACGCGGGTAAAATTCATTTTGACGGGTTTTGGGTCGGGTTTTGATTTAAACCCATTTACTATTCACCAGGTTGGGTTGGGTTTAGGTAAACCCGGCCTATGTGTACCCGCCCACGTCCATATAATTAATTTTCTCGGCATATTTAATATTCTAAACAACTAATCTTTTTTATGTTTGTGGAGACATGTCTAATTTTTCTTTGTAGTTGTGTAGAATGAAGTTGATGTTATCGAGTGGAGAGTGAAAAAATTAATTGAAAGGAAGAAGCTTTCAATTAATCATGTTATTTATAAATAATTTGTAATTTGCTTCAATTTTCTTGAGTTTTCTAGATTGGTTTTGAATAATTTGTATAGTTAATTTGTGATTCGCTTGAATTTTCTAGAATGGTGTTTTATATATGGATAATTTGTATTGAGAGATTGATATTTGACTTTAATTTTGATAGGCACTTGTTATCGTGAATTTTTTACGACAAAAACCCGTGGGTACCCATGAACCCGCGGATACCCAACGGGTTGGGTTGAGTTTTTCAAACCCAGTGAATTTTACCCCGAGTTTTTTCACGGATAAACACATGGGTTTGGGTTTGGCAAAACCCGACCCAACCCATTGCCATCCCTATATGATATCATATCATGAGAGAGAAAGATGACGAAATTTTTATTTAACCATAAAGTAATTTTACATTGTTTAGTTATTCGTTGTATTTGTTTTATTCTAAAATAAATACATTGGTTGAACTAGCATTATATGATAATCCTTATATTAAATCTAATCTATATTTTATTCTAACACGAGGCGTGTTCGGTTTTTATGAGAGTTTAAGATGACGAAAAAAGTACATGTAATTTCATTTTTGAATGGGAGCTGATAGTGATCAAATTTTTTTGTTGTTGCAAAGTTCAACAAATTCATATATCGAGTCGACCATTAGTTTTTTTATATGAATGACTATCAATTCTAATAGGAACAAAGAGAGATATTTGAAATGATCTAACCCTAGCTCTGATATTCCCGGAGCTGCGATTTTCTCATTCACGTCCCTGCGCGTCGGCGCCGTTAAGCATGAGCACTGCCGGACCGGGGGCCTCTCCCTCGGTACCCCGGCCGCATGAATCAGTCGCCGGCTCTCGTCGTCCTCCATCTGCAACCTCATCTCCGAATGGGAAATCTGACAAGGAATCCCAACAAGCAACAAAACGTCCAAAATCGATGAGTGAAAATCCGTTATTCCAAGCTTCGCCTATGGTGAAAGATGTAGCAAACCATGCAACGCAGTCCATGGCACAAGGGGAGGATTCTCAACCGCCCAACCCTGAGAAGCAATGGCGTTCGACGGCTTGGACGTCAGGCCCAAGGAATTTGTTTAGTGAGGTCCTCGCCGAGGATGTATGGTACATAGTCGATTCAGACTCTGAAGACGTCACGGCGGCGATGAAGGAGGATGACGTGGATGATGAGGTCCCCGAGGATGACGACCCACGGTGTCCAACCATACCATTTAAGGCAATGGAGAAACAGCGGTATCATCGTAAATGGAGGTCCGACCTGATTGTCAAGGCGTTGGGCAGGACCTTTCCGTTTCAAGTTGTCTCCCGACGACTGGAGTCTTTGTGGGCAAAATGTGGAACATTGCAAATATCAAGCTTATCCTGGGGTTTCTATGTTGTCCGGTTCACTACTCAAATGGATTACGAGCAAGCGACGGCAGGGGGGCCTTTGATGATTGGTGGTCACTACCTGACCGTGCGGCCTTGGAGAAAGGGGTTAAACCCTAGGACTGGGGAAGTGGCGTCAACAATGGTGTGGGTGAGGTTACCTGGGCTTCCGATTGAGTTTATCAACAGGGAGGCTGTGGAGCGGATTGCGTCCAGGATTGGTCGACCGATCAAGGTGGATAATGCTACTCAGAATGGAGACATGGGAAGGTTTGCTCGTGTTTGTGTCGAAGTTGATCTTACCAAACCCCTTCTTTCACAGTTCAAGATAGAAAGGTCGACGTATTATATTGAGTTCGAAGGGTTACACCAGATATGCACGGAATGTGGGCGGAATGGCCACACGACCAAGACTTGTCCCAACCTTTTCAAACCGTCTAAGAAGGAACCGGTGGAAAAGGAAAAGGAAGAAGTGGCTACCGCGGTGCAACACCCACCAAACTTTTACGGGGAATGGATGATAGCCAAGCCACGGTCCCGTAAGAAAGCTAGCAAACGTGATGTTGCTCCCAACACCGGTCAGTCGCAACCTCCAAGTTCAACGACTTTGGCATCGGGGTCTCGATTCGTTGTTCTGGTGGACGAGGAAGAAGAAGAGTCTATCACTCCGGCAACGGAACCAATCACACAAAACGACCAGCAAGTTGAGGTGCTTATGGTTGGCGCCAGGGTTACTGAGTTGGAGCCTAGGAGTTCCGCTTCGAACGAAGCTACGGTAGGGACCACCACAGAAGTGACTCATGTGGCGACTACATTTCCGGCTGTGTTCAAGGCTCAGGCGCCGAGCAAGTTAGTTGCGGCTCCCGTGATCCAAGAGGCCTCCCTGACCAAGGGGATGGCCAACAATGGGGCGAAGCACAATAAGGGACACGGGAAGAAAAAAAGTGGATAAACAGCAGGTAGTCCCTGGCCACTCTACTATTTCCATTGCTGAAAAGAAGACATGGAAGAGTGGAGGGGCAAGCTCGACTGGACCTGCTCAACCGGGCAAGCCGATCGATCCCGGGGGACTCAATGCTCGTGGAGATAACCGGAAAGGCTCCCTGATAGATGCTTTGCCGGTGATCCCGGCTCCACAGACGAATATGGATGGCCCAAGGACGATTGCTAAGGGTGGCCAGCAGGCCGCTCCACGTGCTCATTAATGCCCAGCTACATGCTGGCGGTTCAGGGAGTCTCCTTCCCTTGTGGTTACATTTCCTTTCATATTTGGTTATTATGTTAGACGTATTTTCTTGGAACTGCCAAGGGGCAGGTCATGAAAAGTTTGTCTCCATTTTACGGTCTTTCTTTGTGCCTACTAGGCCGGAAATTGTCATTATTGTGGAGCCCCGTATCAGTGGTTCGGAGGCTCAAAAGGTTATTTCACAAATTGGGTTCGATGGTGTTTTACGGGTAGATGCTGTTGGCTTTGCAAGTGGCATATGGGTTTTGTGGAATGAACATGAGCTTGAAATCTCTAAACTGGAAGCTTGGGAGCAGATGATCCTCTTCTCGTGCAGAAAACGTGGAGGGAGGGAGCCCCTGGTGGTTATTTTTGCGGTGTATGGCAGCCCCCAACCTGCCCGTCGTCAGGACTTGTGGGATAAAATGGGGATGCTTGGAACACAGATTACAGAACCTTGGTTGTTGGCGGGAGACTTCAACTCCATTATAGGTCCAAAGGATCGCATGGGCGGAGGTGCTTACTTGGAAACGAGGGTTCGAGCTTTCCGTAACTGTCTGAATGCGTGCGGTTTGATGGAGATGGGCTTGACATGGAGAAGGGGCGGTTTATCTCAAAGGCTGGATTGGGCGGTGTGTAATAAACGATGGTTTCTGCAATTCCCGGATTCTATCAGTCATCACCTTGAACGAGTCGGATCATACCACCGACCCCTTCGTGTCTATACTGAGGCGCAGGCGCAGACTCGAGGAACTACTCAACCATTTCGGTTCCTGGCGGCGTGGTTGGGACACGAGGATTTCCGTCGGTTTCTAGAGGCGAGCTGGCATCCCGATCTCCCACTTCCAACGTCCTTGGAAAGGCTTCGGGACGACCTCCAAAGCTGGAACCGACGCGTCTTTGGCAATATTTTTCGACGTAAGCGCGAGCTGGCCAAGAGACTTCGCCGGATGGAGGAATTTAACGAGACATCGGCCACTATACAATCCTGTGAAAAGGAAGAGGAAGTTTGGCGGGCATTGGAATTGACTCTTTGGTAGGAGCAATTGTTCTGGTTTCAGAAATCGCGAGCGAATAGGATTACTCAAGGTGACCGCAACACTCGTTTTTTTCATCTTTCCACTCTCAAGCGGCTTTGTTTTAATAAGATCTCAGCACTCCGGGATCAGGATGGGGATTGGGTTCATGATGATGAGGTCCTACAGAGAATGGCGAGGGATTTTTATATGATCTTGTATTTGGCCGAGTTGGGCTCTGCTCCGTGGTTGCCGAATGGCTTTCATAAGCTGGATACGGGCATCGGGGGCAACCTCTTGAGGCTGCTGATGCCAGTGGAGGTTGGGCTGCTCTCAAGGATATGGGAGGGGTGAAAGCCCCAGGCAAGGATGGGTTCCAACCGCTCTTCTTTCAGAAATGTTGGGACAGTGTTGGCGACGCGTTTTCCGAGTTCGTTTGCCGATATTTTACGGACCCGACTACAATCGGGGAGGTGAACGAGACTCTTATCGTTCTCATCCCTAATAAGGAGAGTCCCGAGAACATCCAACAGTTTCGTCCTATTGGCCTATGTAATGTGTCTTACAAAATTGTGGCCAAATGCATCGTCAACAGGATCAAACTGCTCATGCGGAGACTGGTGCACCCCACCCAAACTAGCTTTGTACCTGTCAGGCACATAACTGATAACGTTATTATTGTTCACAAGGTGGTTCGTTTCATGGGACGAAAGCAGGGGAGGAAGGGGCAAAATTTTTTGAAGATCGACCTTGCCAAAGCATATGACCGAGTTAGTTGGAGCTTCCTACGAGACACTCTTGAAGCAGCGGGTTTCCCTGGGGAGTTCATTAAGGTCATCATGGCCTGTGTCACCTCCTCTGGGATGCAGGTCTTGTGGAATGGCGCATTCACTGACGCTTTCACTCATTCGCGTGGTCTGCGACAAGGGTGCCCTTTGTCCCCGTATCTTTTTACCCTCTGTGTTGAACGACTAAGTCATATCATAGAGGATGCAGTCTCTAGCAGGAAATGGAAACCGATCAAGCTCTCTCCAGGTGGGCCTCCCCTGTCACACATGTTTTTTTGCTGATGATCTTGTCTTGTTTGCAGAGGCCAACGAGGAGCAGGGAGACGTGATTTTGGAGTGTCTAGACTAGGGATGGCAATGTGGCGGGTTTGGGGCGGGTTTGCTCAAACCATCCCCATACCCATCTTCAAATACCCAAACCCATACCCGCCCCATACGCATGCGGGGGAATGTTTTGCAAACCCATCCCCATACCCGTGGGTTTCGGGTACCCATGGGTAGTACCCATACCCGTACATCCAACATTATTATACCTAAAACTTACAAGAAAAGTTCTAATTATAACTCTAAACGAACATATTATATCATGAAGTCAACAAAACACAGTCATTTTTATAATATGGTTCAAAGATTATGATCCTAAAATATTCATTAATACATTATATAGAGTATAATATTTTTCAAATTATTATGTTCTAACTCTGATACATCTACTAAATAATAATTAAATAACATAATCTTGTTGACAAGGGGGAAAGTGAAAGAGTGAAATGAGAATTGAGAGAAATGAATTAGATTTTGATTAAGGTGGTCACTCAATTGCATTTCTACTATTTATTTTCTCAAGTTATCCTCATCATCATTGATAGATTATAATTTGATGCACATATTTTTTTATATATGAAGAAATTATCTTGATGGGGCGGGTATGGGGATGGGTATGGGTATGGGGCGGGGGAGGCTAAAACCATACCCTCCCCATACCAATCAAACTTTTTGCGGGTTTTACCCATACCCGCCCCATACCCGATCAAAGCGGGGATTCCTCGCGTTGACTGGGTCGGGGGAGATCGGATACCCGCGGCCATGGGTTTAATTGCCATCCCTAGTCTAGACCGATTTTTTCAGGACTCTGGTCAGCTAGTCAGCCTCGAGAAGTCGGTAGTTCATTTTTCTAAAAATGTTGATCGGCAAAGAGGCATGGTAATAGCTCAGCGGATGGGTATGACGGTAACTCAAGACCTCGGCCGCTATCTTGGGGTTCCGGTACTCCATGGTAAGGTCACCAAAACAACGTACAAGTACATTCTTGATTGGCTTGACAAGAAGCTTGCAGGTTGGAAGGCGTACTCCTTGTCCTTCGCGGGTCGTATGATGCTGGATTCCTCGGTGCTCAGCTCGTTGCCTAGGTACGCCATGCATACGTCTTTCCTGCCAATATCCATATGTGATGAGATTGACATGAAGATTCGAAATTTTGTTTGGGGATCTACGTCGGATAAAAGGAAGGTTCACCTGGTCAACTGAGAAGGTATATGCAGGCCAAAGCAGGAGGGCGGGTTGGGCCTCAGATAGACTCATGAGCTCAACCTGGCCTTTCTTGCTAAGCTTGCTTGGAATTTTATAAAAAAACCCGACTGAGCTGTGGGTCCAGGTCTTGCAAGCCAAGTAATTCAAAACGGTGAATGGAAACATTGTTGCGAAGTCAATGGCACGAGCCTCCTCTTTGTGGCAGGGTATCCGGAAGGCTTGGACAAACTACGAGCTTCTGGACAGATCGGTGGACTGAACAAGGCGAACCATTACTTGATCACGTCCTCCCCTCAGCACCTGTAGTGGATCCTACAATGCCCGTGGCTGCGTTTGCTAACCTTCAAGGAGAGTGGAATGAAGATTTGTTGGTGTAGTATTCACCCGCTGCTGTTGTTGCACAAGTAATGGGAGTGAAACCGCCTATTGCCAACTCTGGAGAGGACGTGGCCATTTGGGTCCCGGAGCAAGATGGGTGCTTCCATGTCCGGTCCGCGTATGACATTGCCACTTCCTACGATGAGATGACCCCTCAAATAGACGGTTTGGAGATGGGAAGGGCCGGCCAGAGTTCGTCATTTTCTCTAGTTAGCTACTCGGGATCGTCTCCTCGCATCCCGGAGCGCGGCAGGCGGAAGCTGACGGAGGATCCTACTTGCATTCACTACCGTGATGGAACTGAGACAGTTCTGCATGTGTTGCGGGACTGTCATTTTTCCCAGTTAATATGGATGCAACTAATCCGTACTTCTGAATACCAACGATTCTTTGAGGCTAATTTACAGGATTGGATTCTTGGAAACATTCGACACCAGCAAAAGAGTCTTGACTTTGGCATTACTTGTTGGTCCCTTCGGCGGACCAGAAACGACCGAGTCTTCGCAGGCAAAGTCATCACAACTGAGACCTTTATTTAGTGTGTTCAAGCTTGGTTACCTGTAGTGAGGAATGCTTTGGACAAGGACAGGTTCATTCATCATCCTAGTCCGCCCGCCAGAACGGAGGAGCAGATCACTTGGGAGCGGCCTCCTCCTGAGTGGGTTTGCCTCAACTCTTACGGCTCCGCTCTCCCTGAGTCATGCCATGCTGCAGCTAGTGGCTTGATCCGTGATCATTTGGGATGATGTCTCACAGCATTCACTATGAACCAGGGGTCGTGCTCTATCACCCAGGCTGATTTGAGGGGTGCTGTTGAAGGTTTTCACGTGGCCTGGGATACTGGCTAACGTCGAGTTCTGCTTCAACTCGACTCGCAGTGCGCGGTACAGCTGCTGCCGCGCACGGAAAGTGATGAGCACCATTGTTCGGCCATCATTTCTCGCTTCCGCGAGCTTCTTTCCCTTCCCTGGGAAGTTCATATTTCTCATGTGTATCGTGAGGGTAATGTTTGTGCTGATTACCTTGCTAGTCAGGGCCATCATCTTTCCTATGGCTGTCATTGTTTCCGATTTCCGATTCGATGCTCACGTATCTGCTTTTGTACGACTGTCAGGGGGTCTCTGTACCCCGGTTGGTTTTGAATGAAGTTTAGGGTGCTGTTGCATCCATTACAAAAAAAAAACAAAGAAAGTCGGATAGATAATTTCACCCCCTTTGTCTTTTTTCCTGGTTTACTTTATCTAACACAAAATTCATATGAGATATATGAGACTATTTATCAAAGTCAATTTGTGACGTTCTTGATCTTCTTGGAGAGTGAAGTATAACAATAGGGAATTGATAGAAGTAATAAGAGGATTGAGAAAGAAGAATAGAAGAAAGAGGATGAGAAGAAGAAGGAGAAGAGAGGTGGGAGGGATTAGGGGTGTTCAAACGGATTGGTTAAAGTGGGAACTATATTAACCTGTAGCATTCGGTTAATTTGGTTTGGTTAATTTGGATAATTGGTTTGGTTTGGTTAAACAATTTAGCTTATTTGGTTTAGGTGGTTTGGTTTGGTTTCAACACTGCTAACCAATGAAACCAATTAACCAATTAATGATACACCTAATATACAAAATTAATTATACTTCCATGCAACCAAACAAACCAAACTTTCGTGGTTCCCTATTTTATTTCCATGTGCATAATAAACCAAAGCATTATGGGTCAAAAATTAAATGGGTTGCCTATTTACTAAACGAAAATATTTTGGACAGCTACTAGACTTTAAGATTACGTAAAATACCATGACAGCCACCTCAAACTAATGAGTGATATTGGTATGTATTTTATATTTATGTTAATGGTTTGTGGTAAGCTAACTATATTAGGGGCAGAGATGATGAATGATTTATTAACTCGAATGATGATGATAATCATGGATGGTTAGTCTTATTATTATTGCTTATATATAATGATGATTTATGATAGTAATAACATATGGTTATGTTATATTCATTATATAATATTACGTTTTTTGGTTAATCCAATTATCCAATTAACCAAACCAATTAAACTTTGGTTTGGTTAATTTGGTTTTCATGTTAATTTGGACGGTTAGTTTAAAACATTTTATTGCATGGTTAATGAAATTTAGGTTTAATTGGTTTGGTTATTACCACGGTATCCATTTGAACATCCCTAGAAGTGAAGGGAGGAAGAGAAAGAAACAATTGATTATGTATTTGAAAAATTATCCATGTACATGCCCCTCTATAGGTTCTGATCAATTACAAAAAAATTATTCATTTGAAACCTTTATGACAATGAAGTCCCAATTGTTATAATCTCGAACCATTTTACATAAACTTGTCCTATGTCTAAAAACCAATTAGTACCAACATACAAATCAACAGTGAAATAACTAAAACAAAAGGAAATGAACTCAAGTTGTAATAGACGTGCACGCTGACAATTTCTTCAACTAAAGCTTGATGGAAGGTTACTAGTCAAATAATAGAAAGCTGATGAAATGTGTCCATCCTCAAGCAGCAAGTTGCCAGGTAGAGTACGATAAGCAATTAACAAGAACACCAACATACCATGCTTGTCAATAAATCTTTCCCAACGAAATTACTTCCTGTAAAAGAAGTGAACTGTAATAGAGGTGGAGGGGGTAAAATATGAGTTGCCAGTGTTGCAAGATGCTAATGCTATGTACTCTGAAGTAAGATGTGGTCAATTGTAATGGACCCTTCGGAAACTTGGAGGCGCACAGTGCAAATTCTACTACAATCATAAGGAAGTTGAAGTCAGTACAATTCAGCAATATGCACGATAAAAAACAACCATCCATCATTTCCCAATTCCAAGTTCATTAGTATCCACAAACAGGCTCAGTCTCAACACTCAACAGTTTTATCTTGCACTTTAGAATCATAAAAAATTCTCTTCCCTTAGGTACAACAACCTCATACCCATCACAAGCGATAGACATATGGCCTTTCGTTGCCATATAAATGCTTTTTTTTCTTACGAATCCTTATAAATGCTAATGTGATTGAAAACATCCTCTTCCCTAAATGCCTAAATGTGACAACAGAAGAGGGAGTAGTAGTGGTGGAAAAAAGACTATGAAAGTCGAGAGAAGTAAAGAAGGCAGCCTTCAAATAGTCAATTGCAACTTTATTGAAAGAGTCGAAGATGTTATCTGGGAGCCTTTTTAGTGTGCTCTATAATACCCGTGCTATAAAAAACATAAACAAAAAAAGTGACATGTTAAGGGGGAAAACCCACGAAATGAATGGTCCCACATAATTAATGACAATCTTGTAAATAATGAATCAGTGTATACAAGTGTAGCTACAAATTACAGTTGTACCATATCGTATAGGTACAAGTTTCAGTTGTACCAATGAAGAATTTATTTTACAAAGTGTAGGTACAACTCCAAAAGTGTAGGTATAATTTGAGGTTGTACGATAGAGTTTTTTGTGAATTTGTATGTACAACATAAAGTTCTACCATGGTATAGGTACAAGTTTTGGTTGTACCATAGAAGAATTTTTAGAAAGTGTAGGTACAACTTAAAGTTGTACCATAGGTATAGGTACAAGTTTGGGTTGGACCATAGAAGGATTTTTAGAAAGTGTTGGTACAACTTAATGTTGTACCATTGGTATAGGTACAACTTTGAGTTGTACCATAGAGGAATTTGTTAGAAAGTGTAGGTACAGCTTAAAGTTGTACCATGGTATAGATACAAGTTTGGGTTGTACCATTGAAGGATTTTTAGAAAGTGTAGGTATAATATAAGTTTGTACCACAAGTATAGGTACAATTTTGAGTTGTACCATAGAGGGATTTGTTAGAAAGTGTAGGTACAACTTATGATTGTACCATAGGTACAAGTTTTGCTTGTACCATAGAAGGATTTTTAGAAAGTGTAGGTACAACTTATGGTTGTATCATAGGTATAGGTACAATTTTGAGTTGTACCAAAGAGGGATTTGTTAGAAAGTGCAGGTACAACTAAAGGTTGTTCCACATGTATAGGTACAATTTTGAGTTGTACCAAAGAGGGATTTGTTTGAAAGTGTAGGTACAACTTAAAGTTGTTCCATAGCATATAGGTAAAACTTTGAGTTGTATCATAGAAGAATTTATTATAAAGTGTAGGTACAATTTAAAGTTGTACCATTGTATAGGTACAAGTTTAGGTTGGACCATAGAAGAATTTTTTGGAAAGTATAGGTAGAACTACTAGTACCATATAGTACTCGTACAAGTTTGGATTGTAATACAGAGGGATTTTTTTAAAATGTAGGTACAACTTATAGTTGTATCATGTCGTATAGGTACAAGTTTGGGTTGTACATTTGGACTTGTGGTACAACTTGGAGTAATAATTGTACAAGTCGAAGAAACATTGTAAATCTTTGTCTTTATGGATGATACATCATATTTTGGACAATGACATGTCAAAAATCATAGAAATATGGCCCGTAATAAGCCACCCTAAAATTGAGAATTTGAGATTTTGCCTCCTTGAAATTAAACTAGTTGTATAGTATTTAAATTAGTTGTAATCCAAAAAAAAAATTAAATGGAAACAAATATTGACCATCACATAAAATCCGTAACAAGTAAATTAACTTAAAGCAAATTTTTTGTACATGTTGCAGCGCCTGCGTCAGTCCCAGACAGAGTTCTAGATTGCGAGTTGAGTTTGTGGCTTTAGCTACGACTTCGGCTTCTCGTGGTTGGAGAAGCTTCGACCAGAGATCGAGAGAGGGGTTTCGAACAAGGAACAATTTCATAACGAGGTTGAGAGAAGGTGAGGTAGGAGAAGAGGGTTGATAGAGGTGAGGTTGAGAGAGGTTGAGGTAAGAGAAGAATTTGGGAGAGGGTTGGGGATCGAAGTGGAACAAAGGAGGGAGATTGACTTTGAATTGAGGAGAGAGAGGGGTTTTCAAATTTTAATCCATTGAGGTTTTTTTTAGGGTTCCCAATTAACGCCTACATCTCACGGGCATCCGTTTTTTCTAGTATAAGCCGTGAGGTTTACTGGATCCCATTTAAGCTATCACTTTTCAAATATATATGATCATGTTCATGTATGAAGAGAACGTCGTTGATCCATATGATTACTCAATCATGATATTTATTTCTTAAGGGCAGTTCTGGAGGTGTCTTAACTGCATTCCCTACTGCTCCCCTTTTGCCTAGAATCATTATCATTGCCTTGTAACATTTAGAAGTGGAGCTATCCAATTGCCAGTGGCTTGTGGGGCATTTTGATCATGAATCCCATTTCCTCTCAACTGCTGATTTTATATTCCACTACAAATTGTTTCTTTAAGATATTGGCGATAATGATGATGATGATTGATTTACGGATGCTGCTTACTCTATTTTTATCTTTATATTTGATGTTTTTTATTACATCCAACTGCAAAAAGAATTGCTACCTGCTCTCACCTTCTAGTACTTCTCCTTTACTCTTAGATCTCAACATCTCTACACTGCTTATTCCCGATCTCCTAGCGGACATTGATAGGGTACTGCTTCTGTGTTTAGGTTGCCGGAAAGAAATCCAGCTTATCTTCCTCAGCCGGCTCCCAACTACTACATCAGACTCCGACGATGAACTCTGCTGTTGTTGCTGCTTCTATTCCACGGGCGATTCTAGCTGAGGAATCAGAGCACTTGGTTGATTTGATTGAATATGCTTCTTCTCTACTACTACCTCTTCCATTGCTCAACATTGGTTGAAAGCAATACAGGGTCTTCGAGTCCTAACCAAAACACCCTTTACTTGTAAACCAAAGAATTGTTATTTCCACTATTAAGGCAGAAATACTGCTTGCACTTTGTACAAGCCGCACAAGGGCCAGCCTTGTTAGTACCTGCAATGGGACCACCACAATAGAAAGCTTAAAACCTTTACCAAGCCAATCCATCTACTGACATATGAAATACAAGAAGTATCGAGTGAAACTCAATGTAGTTCATAGAAGATTCCACTGTTATGTTCACAAAACTATTTCAGAAAACCAAGAAACACTCAAGACATTACAAACTCAAAAGTAAGTATAGTTCCATCAGTAAAGTTTATAGCCCCCAAGTGGTAGCGCCAAAGAAATAGCTCGCTGACACGCCAAAACACAA